GCAGTGCAAGTCGGGATTCCAAAAGTGGACCAATGCTCTAACAAAGATAGGATCGATGTTGATTTCCAGGAGGTCAAGAATCCTTCCATAAGATTTCTCAAAATTAGCATTGACCTCTGGCAGCATATATGTACACAACTGCCTTAGCTTCTTTACACGGCATAGAAGGATTTTCATTTTCTTTAACTGTCTATTACTGGATCCCTCCATTATCTAAAAGAAATGAAAATGCATGATATGAGGATGAGTCTTTGTAAATGCATGCATGCAAGTGTTTGTTTTCTAAGTACTATCATGTTTTATTCCTAGTATGATACATGATAGTGCTTGTTTTTTTCTTGAAAAGGAAACTATCTATATGAATGTTTATGGATTTTGATGAAGAGATTTCTATTTTCTTCTCTTATTATTTTTATGAACAAATATTGTATGAATGATAATACTTTGTCCAAAATCTCTTTATTGTAAGAGGTATTTTTATTGCTTTAAATTGTTTTTTATATTTTTTATAACCCTTTATCTCTTCTGTTGGTCAACGTGGCTACTTAGCTTACAAAGAACCTGAAACCAGGCTAGCTTAAATGAAGACTGTCTGAGATAAAGTTGGTTTACTCTTATCACTTTTATGGTTTTTTAGGATTTTTACTATTTTTGTTTGTTGTATGATTACCCTGTGCTAATGCATCAATACAAATGCAGCAAACAAATGCACATACAATTCACTCATCCACGAGCAGAGCCACGCTAATTTCGAGGTAGGGTTTTCCTGCAGAAACATGCTTGGTTTAGGCGGTTCTAAACTGTTCTCACTAAGGCCAAAGGTCCCCAAGGTGCCCCCATTATAGGGACCTCTCAATCTCTCAGTCCTTGGGTCATGCACGGAACTCCGTGTCGACATCCTTGGACCAAAAGAAGAGAGTTATCACCTTGAGTTGGTGGTTTTCCGACAACGGTTGTAGCCCCGTATGCCAACAAGCTGGTCGTATCTACCACCCACTCCCTATAGGTATTCACTCTTGCCCCCAGGTATAGAGGGACTGTAGTGTGCAAGGGTTTTTGTGTACAGTTTATATTTCAGACAATTTGCAAAAAATAATCATACAGCAGTTATTAAAGCCATACAATAAAACATATAAAGGAGGGTAAAGGCGTAATTTCAAATCTTTATTTAGTTTGAATTTATCCGTCACTAAATGGGATCAACTCTCTAGCTTCCCCAGTGGAGTCGCCATCTGTCGCCGCCGTCCATTCCGACGTCTAGGGACATCTCGAACGTTTATGCGAGCAGTCGCGAAAAGATGGTTTGGACTCGCGTTTTATTTTAAAATGTGTTCATTGCTTCCGAGGTGCTCAACAACTGAACTATCCTCTAATAAAAGCAAGGTTTTCGCAAAAGGGTTCTTATGGAGTTGCCACCAATGTTTTGACCATAAACATTGGAAAAGGATAAAAAGGCATTGATTTTAAGAAACACCAAACTTGGTCATTATAACCAGAGTTGAGTAAGGGAGTTAGTTACGTGTGGGGAAGGTGTTAGCACCCCACAACGCCCCTTTCGGGTTCCCTATGACGGATTAATTCATTAAGTAAAGATTAAGAGAAATTACGCTATTACCCTATTTTATTGTACAATATTTTAAAAATGAGAAGAGAAGTGAAAAGAACCTCTGTAGCAAGCTTTTTATTGCAAATCTTTAACTGTGAGGATGCGTTTTGGCAATCCCCCACTCTACAAAGACTCTCCTCCCCGAATACAAGACCGACTCTACCAAAATTTTAAGAAGAATCGAATGCTGGAAGAATCTTCCTTAACCGATTGTTACCTTTTTAGGCAATCAGAGAGTTCATTCGAAAGAGGGAGAGAAGACAAGTGTTTGGAGTGTGAAAAACGCTCAAATGAGCTTCCTATTTATAGTTTTTTCAGCCTGGCAGCTCGGGATGGCCGTCTGGGGTCTGGAAAGCAGGGATGACCGTCTGCAGAGGTCGGGACGGCCGTCTGGGATCTGGGGCGGCTGTCCCAAGTGGCAAAAATGGGTGAGACGGTCGTCTGGCATGTGGGACGGGCATCTAGGCTGACTGGGACGGCCATCTCGACTTCTGGGACGACTGTCTTGACTGTTTTGGCCAGATTTTGTGTCCTGGGACTCCCGGGAAGCTTTCCTTTCTTTATTCGGAAGTCAATTGATGCCGATAGACGTCCACCGAAGCTTTATCTTCAGATAGAAAGTCTTCCGGTCTTTTATTAAGAGGCCGAGCAAAATTAGGGGTCTATAGACACTGATGAAGTTTTCCTTTGATATATTTTTGGTGATGTCTAGTAGGTAGTTAGAAATTATAAAGCCAAATGATTAAATCAATTTTGAAATTTTCCAAAGATAAATGATAATTAATTAAATTCATGACTAAAAGCTAATAATCGATTATATTAATACTTAATAGATTATATAACTATTTTTTACATTGCACAAAAATAATCGATTTTATTTTTTTAATAAATTATCTAAATCGAGTTGAAATTGTTTCAACTCTTTAAATTGAAGAAAACTTTTGCAAATAAAATATACTTTTTGAAATACAATCAAACTTAGAAATAGAGAGTTAATGTGGGCATTGAAACAACTATAAGGAGGTGAATCATTTTTGTGAGAATCATATTCAAATATTAATTCATCTTGGCTATAGGAATTTGTAAATTGTATAATTCAAATACAGGTGATTTTGTTCCTTTCGTAACTTTTGTTTGGGTATTGATCATTGTGAGGAAAGTATCATCAATATTATTTGAAAATTGTGAGGATAGCATTTTCAGTTTTTTGTTTTGTTAGATCTTGTTAAAAGATTTGCTTTTCAAGATCTGCATCTTGCTCTTGGGTTTAGACTTCATAGGTGAATACTTATAATCTAAATGTTTGAAAGTTTATAGTGAAAATCGAAGTTAAGGTTACTTAGATAACTGGATGTAAATTCTATGGAATCGAATAAGTATAAATCTTTGTGTTCTTATTTTTCTTTCTTTATCTTGATGTTTTAAAAACAATTGCAACACATTTTACATTATATTTCAATTAGATTCATAAAAAAAGATTCATTAGTTTTTGTTTTTAACTTAAAAAGATCAAGACAATTTTTTGAAAAGATTTCTTTAAAACTCAATTCACCTCCTCTCTTGGGGTTATGCTAAGTCATTTTAATCCTTTTTTAAAAATCGATTATGCTTTTGAGCTTCACATGTGTACCAACGATGTTTCATGTAACCAATTCAAACATCAACATAATATAATTCAACAACAAATGCATGATACAAACGAATTTACATGTTAAATGACTGAAATGAACAACAAATTGCATAAGAAGAAGGGGAAAAAATTGACTCAAGTGAGTGGATAATGGAGATATTAGACACCCCTACACAACTCTTATTTGTTCGAAAATGTATTCTGGAACACCCAATTCTAGAATACGTTTCGGTTTTTCTAAAATCGTAGTCTGAAATACTCATTTTAGAATGTGTTTATGAAAAAGTCAATCCAAAAATTTATTTTGGATTGACTATTGTGGAATGTGTTTCGAGAAAAACAATCTGAAAATATATTCTACATTGATTTTTTTTGGAATTTAATTTTATTTTCATGATATTATTTTAAATTAAGCAATTTGGGTAATTTGGGTATGTGTGTGCAATTTGAGTACAAGAATATATAATCATAGACAATTAATGATTATTTATCTTTAATTGTTAAAAAAATATTTAATGAAAATGATAAAAAAAAATCAAATATCTTTTGAAAATGCTAAGAGATAGAAGTGTAAAAGTTGTACATAAATAGAAAAAAAAATTAGGTTAAAAAAAATTACTGAATGGTTACTTTAAATATTTCACTATGGAGATGGAGGTGTAGGGAGAATTATGAGGGTTATTATTTCTTACTGAATGGTTACTTTAAATTACTGAATCCTTAAGCAAGAGCCTAAGATATTATTTCTTACTTTATTTATATTTTATTCCCACGCGTACAAAAGCTACTTTTTATAATCTTGTTGTCTCTTTCCAAAATCTTTCGACAGTGTTTCTCGTCACGCATTTCAAAAAGAAACACCCTTCCGTGTTTTTAGCTTGAAGTTGGAAACTTTCAACTGCCAAGGTATTGTTTCCACTTAAACGTTTTACTTCGCTGGAATGGGTTCTTAATCTTGGAGAAATATTTGTTATGGTTGTTTATCGTAGAAAAATAAATTAAAATTTTTTGTAAGTATTTGAAAATGTATTTCGAAGGATGGGACTTTTTGATTTCCACTGTGACGAAAGCATGTTAGATTGAAAATCAGAGGATACGGGTGTCCCGATGTTATCCACCCAAAACTAGTGTTTATGATTTTAAGTTGTTTGGTTGATAAAATGTTCAACTTCTTGTGTTATTTTGTTTGATGCTGGGTTAGCTTGTTTTGACTCACCCTTTCGGGGGAAGAGGGTTTTCATTGATTGTGAATTAATTTTGGGTTATTTCTTGGTATCAAAAGGTGAAAATTGAAAATAGATGAGTGATATGTCAATGGTTTGGTTTCTTTTTGCACTGTAGTTTCTCAATAATCAAATTTTGTTTACTTGGGTGAGTGCAAGGAGGGTAGTTTAGCATAGAAAGCAGCCTAGGAGTTTTGATTCGTTGAGTACAGCTTTCACTTATTCGAGGGTGTAACATGAAAAGTTTTGGGACCAAATAACACTAGTATAGGTTTGCTTAGTGCTTTCTAGTTTTTTGCTGGCAAAATTGTTATGCAGTTGAATTGATTCTAATCTTGATTTGATTAATGGCTCTTATGCTCTTTGGCTTTTTCAGTTGTCAATGTATCAGTTTTGTTTTGAATAGAGGTGACCTGAAAATTCTTTCTTCAGGTGGAGTGTCTGAAAGTCTGAACTATATGGCAAGCTGATCTTTTACCTTTTATAATTCTTTTATTGTTTCAGCAAAAGGGTGAAAGAATCTAGCCCTTAATTGAACACAATGAGTGCTGTTTACATTTCTCTAAACCATTCAATTTCTCAGTCATGTTATAAACCTATGCAAGTTTTCAATTTGGCAAGAGAGAGCACTTTGACGGGAAGAAGTCCTGTTATTCAGATTAGAGGCCAGAGGGTTGTGAGTGCATGTCTTAATGCAGATGTTGCTGCATCTAACACTGCGAACACAGCATTGGAGAAAACTAAGGATGTGATCGAGATGGAAGGGAAGATTTTGGTGGGGACATATGCAAGAACACCTGTGGTGCTCGAGAGGGGGGAAGGTTGCAAGTTGTATGATGTTGAAGGGAGAGAATATTTAGATGTGAGTGCTGGGATTGCTGTCAATGCACTAGGGCATGGAGATGCAGATTGGTTAAAAGCTGTTGTTGAACAAGCTGCTACCCTTTCTCATACCAGCAATATATTCTACACAATACCTCAGGTTCGGGCATGATATTTTATGTTTGAGTTATGTCCACGTCTTCTTCTGTGTAAAAGTCATGGAAAACTTTATCACCAATCAATACCTTTGGTGTAGGCATACAATGGGCTGTCTATTTGTATCAGAGTTATTTCTATATCTTCTTCAATTTCCTTAGGTATCATGGAAACAATTTGGAACGCAGCTATTATATGTTTTTTTTTTATTTAATTACGACACTAGTTTTCTTGGTAACAATTAAGCAGGGCACCAAATTTATTAATTGGTTCATTATAGGTTTATTCTAAATAGTCAAAGTTATATATAATTTAGCTGTGTTTTTACATTTTTTTTATCTGTTAAGGTGTACAAAATTTTCTGCATACTTTTAAGAAAATTTGTTGTTCAAAGTCAGAGTTGGAGCATTGGAGGTGGGAATGGTGATTTAAATGTGATGATTGCTCAATGTGGTGTGGAGTTTATCAACTATTATATCTCCTTTAGTGGTGATTCTGGATGTATACTTTAGTGGACCGAGGACTGGATTGAAAATTGTTGCACATAAATTATTTTGAAAAATGTACAGAAGAGTTAGGATTTTTAATAAGTGAGTGGCAAGAAAACTTTAAATTTGGTGGAACATGACTCTCTTAATGGTGAACTACCTTATCTTGTGATAAAAGTTAATTTTCATAATTGAGTACTTATTTTATAGTGTAACATTCGCTAAATGAAGAGAAACCCAGTTGCTGTTGGCAGGGAAAGGAAAACAAAACCAATATATAAAAATGAAAAACAAGTCCCAGACGAAACATATTATGTTGTCAACACTTGAGCTTTCTATGAGTATTTTTTTAGTTTACAATTTGAAGGACTTTATAGTAATCCTTAGTTATTAGTCATCACACGGTGTTAAAATATTTACATCCCTCTCCAATTTTACACTCTACTGTGCATAGAATTCAGTGTATTGTAGTTTTCCCAATCTCAAATTTCTTCCTTCCCCTCAATGTTTGCATAATTGCTAGCTATCTGGAATTTTATGAATCCTCACTACTTTAATTGTTAGAGAAAGAAAAAGAAATTTTCCATTTGATAATTTGGTTTGGAGATTGCATACTTCATTGTGCATGGGAGATTGCAGAGAAAGAAATTGCCATCGATAATTTGGTTTTGTAATTTCATTCTTTTATTTTGTGTCTACATTTTGAAAAGGAAATAAAACAGCTTTGTATCTGCTTTATCTAACAAGTATATGGTTGTGATGTTATTAGGCATGCCTATATCATGACTTTATTTTTTATCTACCTATTTGTAATTGTTTATAGTGGTTCCATTATGCTTTACTTTGGTTCATTTCTTTTAGAAGCATTGTTATGTGTCTCTGCACTGTGTTGCATATAATTATGTTTGAATTGTCCCAGGTAGAACTTGCAAAGCGTCTTGTGGATTCTTCTTTTGCTGATCGTGTGTTCTTTGCAAACTCTGGAACTGAAGCAAATGAAGCAGCTATTAAATTTGCAAGAAAACATCAGAGACACACAACTACTAATGGAAAAGAGCCAGCAACAGAGTTCATAGCTTTTAGTAACTGCTTCCATGGGAGAACCTTGGGTGCGCTTGCTTTGACAAGTAAAGTGCAATACAGAACACCTTTTGAACCTGTTATGCCTGGAGTGAACTTTTTAGAGTATGGAAATGCTCAGGCTGCAACAGAATTAATTAAGCAGGGCAAGATTGCTGCAGTTTTTGTGGAACCCATCCAAGGAGAAGGTGGAATATACAGTGCTACAAAAGAATTTCTACAATCCCTTCGTAATGCCTGTGATGAAGCTGGGGCACTTCTTGTGTTTGATGAGGTATGAGTATCTAGTATTGATATATTACTGCAAATGGTAAGGCCTATTGTTCCTGAAAAATTTTAAACCAAAATTTGCTTATGTAACAGGCAAGGACTGAATTGATTTTCACCTTTAAGTGTTTTATTTTTTAGTTTATTTTAAGTTGCTTTGGAGATTCTTCTACTCATGATGATATTGTCACTCGAAAAATGGTCAGTTGGTTTATATTTGTCATGTTATTGATTGAATGATGAGAAGAATGAGAGTGTCCAATACAAAGACCTTTTATTAAATCCACATGAATTTCTTATTTCATAGAGTGACAAATGTGAGAAGATGAGAAGAGAAGTCCCACATATGAGAAGTCCCACAAATGTGTGAATTTCTATTATTGCCTATTGTCGATTTTGTTAATCTTTTCTCATCTTTTATTTTTGTTGTGATTTCTTATGCTATTACTTAGATTCCTAATAATGGTATCAAAACCACTTGGTTATTTGGTTGTATTATTAGTTGTTATAGTCACTAGAATAGTATTAGAGAAAATTTTTAGTATGTTATGTGATTGTAGTTAATTTAATTTTTCACATAAAAAAAGAGTTATTCCAGTTGCTAGATATAGAGTGTGGTAGTGTGACTATTTGTGATCTACTTCTCTTTCATGGGAGTTTATCTGGTGTACTAATTACGTTTACACCATTGTTCTAGTAGACAATATTTTTCATAGTGAAAAATGTATACGTCGATTAAAACCATGACAACAAAATATGAGATAAAGAAGTTTAATGAAAATAATTTCTCGTTGTGGAAACTGAAGATGAAGACAATTTTGAGAAAAAATAATTGTGTAAATGCAATTCGAAAAAGACTCATGAATATCATGAATTGGACATGAAATGAAATCAATAACAACATTATAGCAAATTTGCACTTAGTATTGACAAATGCGATTTTGTCTAGCATTGTAGAGGAGGATATAATAAAAAGGATTTGGGTATCCCTTGTCAAATTGTATGAGGTTAAATCACGTTACACTAGAATACTCTTGAAGAGAAAACTCTATACTATTAGTGAATTTACATTAGTGGCGGATTACATCATCAATCTAAAACATTGTTTGCTCAACTTTTAGTGACAAATTTTAACATAGTTGAAAATGAGTGTGTGAAACTTTTACTTTAAAGCTTACTAGATTCATATGATTAACTCATAATGAATAATAATATTAATGAACATGTACACTTTGAGGATATTGTTGAAACTATTCTTGAAGAAGAATTCAGGCGAAAAAGTAAGGTGGAAAGTTTGAAACAAGCAACGACTTTGATGATGAGAGGTAGGTCAATGGAATATAATTCTAGTGGGAGTCAAAATCGTGATGGATCAAATTCTCAAGGAAGAAAAAATCTCATATACTACTATTCTGGCAAGAGAGGGCATATGCCTAGAAAGATTGTTGGCCTAGAGAAACATAAATTAAAGTTTGCTACAGTGAATATCAGGAGAAAACATATATTGGACTTGTTTTATTCTAATGTGTTGGAATCGCTGAAATCAACAATGATTTGAATATAGTAAAAACTAAGTATAGGGTTAATCTCCCATGTGTGTAAAATACATAGGGATATATATTTATAATGAAGAGTAATACAGGGAAATTTAGCAAATACACATAAATATGGTAATTATAAGATATTGTGACTAACAATATCTAACTGACGACACTCGAATGGAAGGGAAACAATTTAGGGTTAGGTTTTAAGAATTGATTTGATTAGAAATAGAAAACAGAAAAACATAAAAGATACCGTAGGCGCCACAAATAAGAATATTTGATAAGCCAAGAAGGATCGTCACAAGAATCGAATAATTCTTGATAAGATCAAGTGATGCAAGGAAGAACCCTAGCAGAGCAACAACTCACAAAGTAATCTGAATATTACGTACGTTCCTTCTAAATTCCCAAATGTTTAATACAACTTAAGTTTATGAGTTTGTCTCATTGCAGGAAATAAAGATAAATTAAAATCCTAATATTCCAAGCAAAGTTAAGTTGCCCAGATGGTTCAGTGAAGGCATTATAAGCTTTGGGTCTTGGGTTCAAATCCCCACTGTAGCAAATAAAATATTAATAATAATAAAAACTAAATCTTTTAGTTGGGCCTCCTAGCTCTCCAAACATTCTATGCATGTGATAGGTCTAGACTCCTCCATGTTTGGATCTTTTAATAGTTGGGCCTTTAGCAAATTGGTCACTTTGTATTGCAATGCCTCTTGTGCTTTTCTGAGTCTGCCTCTTGTCATAGGTCCACCTAAGTCTTGGATTGGATCTTGGTCTTGATCCTTTTCGTTATGGCCTTGGGCCTTTATTATAAGATATTGTGACTAACAATATCTAACCCTCCCCCTCAAGCTGGTGCATATAAATTATATGTACCAAGTTTGTTACAAATATAATCAATTCTAAGTCCCTGTAAAGACTTGGTGAAAATATCTGCTAACTGTTCACTTGAGTTAATAAACTCGGTCTTAATGTTTCTAGATACAATCTTTTCTCGAATAAAATGATAGTTAACCTCAATATGTTTGGTCTTTTCAGACAATATTATAGTTAATATGAAGAGTAGCATGATTGTCACATATAAGTGTCATTTGAGTGACATTTTCAAATTGCAACTTTTTAAGTAATTATTTAAGCCAAACAAATTCACAAGTGGTTAAGACCAAAACTCTATATTCTGTTTTTGCACTAGATTTTGCCACAACACTTTGTTTTTTGTTCTTTCGAGAGATCAAGTTACCTCCAATAGAAACACAGTACCTGGAAGGAGATCTTCTATGAGAAAGAGATCCTACTCAGTCAGCATCTGAATAATAGACAACTTTAACCTAGTTATTGTGATCATATAACAAACCTTTCTAGGAGATCCTTTAATGTATTTTAATATACAGATGACTGTATTTGAATGATCTGCACATGGAGAATTAAGAAATTGACTCATCACACTGACTGCAAAGGAAATGTCAGGATGAGTACCAGTGAAATAGTTTAATTTCTCTTTTGTACTTCTTAGGATTTGAGAGAGACTCTGATTAGGTAGGAATTTGATATTGGGATCCATGAGTGTGTCAACAGATTTTGAGTTCATCAATCCAGTTTTCTCTAAAATATCCAATGCATATTTTCTTTGAGATATAACAATATCATTATTGGATTGTGCTACATCAATCCCCAAGAAATATCTAAGTTTGCCAAGATCTTTGGTCTGAAAGTAGTGATGAAGGTGTTGTTTCATCTGGGAGATGCTATGGTGATCACTCCCTGTAAGAACAATATCGTCAACACACCCATCACTTGAGTAACAGTAAAAGATTGAATGATCTGCCTCACTGCGAGTCATACCAAACTGTTGAACAACACTGCTAAATTTTTCAAACCAGGCCTTAGAAGACTGTTTTAGGTCATATAAAGATTTGTAAAGATGACATACCAGTCTAGGAGACTCCTCCTAAGCAACAAAACTTGGAGGTTGCTCCATATAAATTTCTTCCTGCAAATCTCTATTAAGAAAAACATTTTTGACATCTAGCTGGTAAAAAGGCCATAATTGAAGAGCAACCATGGCTATGAATAAGTGAACAAAAGTCATCTTTGCCACTAGAGAAAAAGTATCATCATAGTCTCTAAACTAAAAATTTGTGTGTAACTTTTAGCCACAAGACGAACTTTGAGATGGTCAATAGTACCATCAGGACCAACTGTGATAGCAAAAACCCAGTTGTAACCAATAACAAATTTTTAATGGGACGAGCTCCCAAATTCCATTACTCTAAAGAGCACTTAGTTTATCAAGCATGGTCTGACGCCAACTAGGATGGTCTAAGGTATCACTTACAAATTTAAGAATTAACACAAAATAAATAGACGAAAGACAGGTATAAAAAGGTGGAGATAATCTATGTTAACTATGGTTATCAAACTCGTTAGTCAACTCGCTGACTCGGAAGAGTTAACGAGTCAAGTGACGGGCACGAGTTAACTTGTGAATAGACTCGGAGTCAAACTCGGTGGACTCTGAGTAAACTTTCGAGTCAAAGGCAAGTCACCGAATTTAAAGAAAAAGAAAAACTTACATCTTTTCCCACACTCCTCATTTCTTCTGACAAGTTTAGATCTCGTCCCATCGCTAGTGATCGTCGTCGTGGTGCTCACCTGGATAGCGCGGTGCTTGCGCGTTGGTCACACACACCTGGGTCGCGCAGTGGTTGCATATCTCTCGTCCTTGGTCGCAGTCCTCCCGTCGCTGCTCGCCGCCCCTCTCGCAATTTAGATTGAGGGATTTGAGATTTTAGGGTTTTCAAATAGATTGTGGGATTTTAGGGATTTAAAGATTTTTTTAATTTTAATTATTCTGTTGAACAAATTCAATTGATTTTTTATTTTAGTTATTTTAGATATAAATATTAAAATTGAAAATGTCTGGAATTGGTTCCAATTCTTCTGAAAACAATGTAGCTACATCAGGAAATAGAACAAATATTGGGTGAAGACATGAAATAGATGTTTTGGGCAATGGAAAAAAAAGTGAAATGTAATTATTGCTCAAAGATATTTAATGGATGAATTTTTAGATTTAAGCATCATCTTGCTGGAACTAGATATGATTATGAACCTTGTGCTTCGGTACCAGAAAAAAATTGAAATTTTAATGATGAAAGTTGTGGTAGAAACTAAGGATGTGCCTCAATGAAGAGAAGTTTGAATAGTATTGAGGACATTGATGATGAACAAAGTGAAAATAGTATGATATTTAAAAATAAAGGAAAGGGTAATAAATCTAGTGATGGGGTTCAAGCTACTCTAAATTAATTATACAAGAAAGGTGATAAGGAAAAAGTAGATGCTCAAGTTGCTGAATTTTTCTAAACAACTGTCATTCCATTCAATGTTATTAGAAATCTAGCTTTTGCAAAAATGTGAGATGATTAGGAGATATGGTATTGGCTATAAACCTCCATTTTATCATGATGTTAGGGAGAAGCTTCTAAAACAAGCAGTGGGAAAAATTGATGTAATTCTTCAAGAATATAGGAATGAGTGGAAGAGAACAAGTTGTACAATTATGTCTGATGGGTGGTCAAATGAAAAAAAGTTCAATTTGTAACTCTCTGGTGAACAATCCTAAATGTATTGTGTTTCTTTATTCATTAGATACCTTAAACATCTCAAAAATTGTAGATAAGGTATTTAAGATGTTAGATGATGCAATGGAATTTGTTGGAGAAGATACCATAGTACTAGTGGTTACTAATAATGTTGCAAATTTCAAAACAGCCGAAGAATTGGTAATGCAGAAATGAAAACATCTATATTGGACACCATGAGCTGCCCCATTGTATTGATTTGATCGTTGAATATTTTGATAAACATTTGAAGATCCACCAAGTAACTATCAAGAAAGGAAGAAAGATCACCACCACATTTATGGTAGAACAATCTTAATTAGTATATTGAAGAAGTTCACAAATGGAAGGGACTTAATAAGGCCTCGTATGACTAGATTTGCCACAACTTCTTTGACTCTAGCTTGTCTCCATGAATTGAAAACATCATTGATGAGCATGTTTAGTAATTATCAATGGATAAAGATGGAAAAAGATTAACCATACCAACACCATGAGATAAGACCCTAGTTCCATCAGTCATTGTAGCCGAAGGTAAATTATTCGGAGAGGATAAAGAATAAAATAAAGATTTGTTACCAGTAATATAATATGTGGTGCCTAAGTTAAGAATCCAAGGTCCAAGAGAAGGAGATTGAGTTAGGCCAACAAAAGATGTACTTGTGCGTGTAACAGAAGCAGTGGAACTAGAGTTCTAACGATTCTCATATCATTTGAAAAATTCATTAAAAATAACAAATTTTCTTGCAATATTAGATGAAGTAGGATTCATAGTAGATGATTGTAAGGAAGGACGACCATGTAATGCATAACACCTGTCAATCTTATGAACTAACTTGTGACAATGATCGCACTTGTGATGCCCTTTTCCAGCTTGTGAGAGCGATTGCGATCATCACGTTGAGATGTCAAAGTAGTAAAAGATTGTTGTGTATTATGTCAGTTAGAGTATTTTGCACATTATAAGGAATATTGTCTTATATTCCAAGACAAAACAAGAAGAATCTAGCAAATATTATGACAATTGGTTAATAATGACAAGTTTATATGGATCAATTCTACAAAAGGTCTATTGGGAAACATATCAACATGAAGATTCGATTAATTTAATCAAAATCTTCTAAGTGGAATAATGTTAGAATGTGAAAAGAGAAGTTTCAAATAAAGGAAATTATATGGTTGTACTTACTTTTCCTGTTATAAAAAGGAGCATAGTATTATCTTATAAATCACCTTCTTCTCTTTTATGTTAATGCATTACATAGAAGTTGTGTTCTCTTATTTTGTAGAGACGATATTATGCGTTGTGTAATGTATTATAATTTTGTCGTGTAATTAAATTCTATTATTTCTTATTGTCGATTTTGTTACTTTTTTTCTCATATTTTATTTTAGTTGTGAGCTCTTATATTATTACTATATTTATAACTTATTGAATTATTCATTTGGATGTTTAAACTATTCTATTTAACTATCATATGCTTTATGTGATTTTGTAGGTTCAATGTGGTTTAGGTAGATCAGGGTTTCTATGGGCCTATGAGGCATATGGTGTCTTCCCTGATATGATGACCCTTGCAAAGCCTCTTGCTGGAGGCCTACCTATTGGAGCACTCCTAGTGACAGAGAAAGTTGCTTCTTCTATAAATTATGGTGATCATGGAAGCACTTTTGCAGGAAACCCTCTTGTTTGCAGTGCTGCTCTTGCTGTTTTTGACAAAATATCAAAACCTGAGTTCCTGTCATCTGTATCTAAGAAAGGCCTCTACTTCAAAGAACTACTCAAGCAGAAGTTGGGAGGAAACCAGCATGTGAAAGAAATTCGTGGTGTTGGGCTAATCATAGGAGTAGATTTAGATGTACCTGCTGCGCCACTTGTCGACGCATGCCGAAATTCTGGGCTGTTAGTGTTAACCGCTGGAAAGGGAAATGTAGTCAGGATTGTCCCACCATTGATCATAACAGAGAAGGAGATTGAGCAAGCAGTTGACATCTTGTTCCAAACTTTACATGTTCTTGATAAGTAGGAGTGTAGGAGAAAGAGGATTGCCATTTCAAGCAAAATATAACTTATTTGGTTTTGTATTGTGGTTGTGGAGTGACTGAAACTTTCCGATGACAGAACTTGATCACTTTCCTTTCATTTAAGACGTCTCCATGGTAAGAATATTTCGTTGCATTTCTCTAGTAATGTGTGGCAGATAAAATGGTTTACATGGACTATTCTCCTCTGCAACATTTTTATGTGTCTTTTTGCTCATACAAAGTGCAAGAAAGAATAAATAACTGCAAGATCTTCTCAGTTCATAATATCATCTAATAACTTAGGTTTAATTTAACAAATATGCAAGATGGTAATTATTGTTCACTTCTATATTTTAATTTAATTATATAAATAGTTTATGTGAAAATTTCTATCCTATTTTTTAAAATTATGATAAAAAATTTATACTTTAATTCTTATACAATTTTTTTATATATAAATTATTCATTATCATTTGTTTAACTCATACAAATAAGAGTTACTTAATAATAAAAACAATATTTTATTATGAATTTTATGTTTGAATGAATTAAAAAAAGAAATTTTTATTTGTAGAATTTATAATAAAATATTTATATTTATTTTAAAATAATTTTTACTAACATATTTAGTGTTATTTTTCATGAAAACATATTAATATATTATAAATTAAAAAGTATCAAATAAATATGCATTAAAATTATAAAATAATATTTACTAACATATTTAAAATTTGTAGATTATAAACTCACATTTACAAAAACACACGGTGTTAGACTAGTTTTGAATATATTTAAAGATATTTTATGTATAAAATCTAAAAAAAAGAAAAGAATTGTTTAACAATTAATAACACACTCAATATTTTTCAAATGAAGGATAAACACTAAATAAAAAATTCTTACTATATGCAAATTGAAACTATTTTTTATTAAGAAATAAGACAATACACCTTTCCATAATCTAAAATAACTATTCCAATGTTTTTTTTTTCATTTATAATTTTCTCAACAAATAATACCAAGTAAAAGTGTAACTTATAAAATTGATTAGTATATAAAATTTACATTAAAATAATATTTTATATGTAAATAATTTTTGTAAAAAACTATTTTTCGATTATGAAGAAACCTCTGCAGCAACCAGTTATATATTATAAAATAACGTTCCAGTTTAATGCAATATCTTTCCCCAAAAATAGAAATGTGTGTTCTTGCCGATGCCATTAATCAATGAAATGAAAGGTGCAGAGTTTGGATTACCCAGTATTATCCTCAACTGAATTATGGTCAATTAAATTTATGTATAATGATAATTTATAAATTTAATTATATCAATTTGGATAAATAGAAGAGTCATTTTGTGATATTTTAAAATATTGAGAGATTTCATTGAACTTTGAAAAGATGAGAGGTTTAGTTTAACAAATTTATTAATAAAATGATGAAATTAAATCAAATAAATAAATAATAAAAAGAAAAGTTAATTAAACCAGTAATACTATATAGATAAAGTTGTTGTTTTGAGATTTCTATCAAAGCTAAGTAGGAGAGAGAGGAAGAGAGTAGTGATGGAGATGAACACAGTGCAGGTTTTGTTGGGAGTAGGTTTGGTGTTGTTGGTGCATGTCTTCAATGTTTTGGTGTTGAGGCCAAGATCAATGAGAGCAAAGCTTCAGAGGCAGGGGATTAAAGGGCCTTCACCTCACTTCTACTTTGGCAACATCCCAGAAATGAAGACCCTTTTGCTTCAAGTTCAGTCAGCACCAACCACTCAAGTCAAAGAGAAAGATGAAGAGGTTTCTCTTTCTCACATGTGGCCTTTCACACTCTTCCCTCATATTCAAGAGTGGATCAAACAATATGGTCAGTTACATTGGCCACTCTCATAAACATGGTTCCTTCTTTTTGTTTGGACCAATGAATCATCAGTCACTGTTCTTTGCAATTGATGTTTGCTTTTGAATGTGTTAAAATAAAATTTTTTTTACAAGTTTTCTTGTGAGATTTTGATCATAAAAATTGAATTGGTCTACGTGCAAAGCTGATTCTTCGTGTTTTTGTTTAACTTTTTGGTCTCTTCCATGTTTTCTGAGCATATTGAAGGCTAAAACATTGAGTTGAGTTCGATAGTCTATTGTGAACTCTTTCTGTTCTTGATCTGATAAAGTTGATGGAAATATTCTATCGAAGAAACCTTTTCAGATTCCATGAAATTGTATTTCACTGCTCAGATGCCAAATTCTGGAATGTTTTCGCTTCTTCAGAAGCCCCTGTTGGCCACAGGGCTGAGAGACTCTAGTTTTCAATTCTCAATGTTAAAAGTCAAGATATTTATCGTAGTTGCAATTTTCTTTATAAGAATGGGTTCCATGGTGTGTGTTCAAAACCAGAGTTTTCACTTGAAATAATCAAAGTCATATTAAAAACTTGAAAGGCACCAAAAGTAAAACAGAGAACGCATAAAATAGTAATACTCTGTAGGAAGTGCTGAAAAGGGTTGGCATAATACTAAATGAAAGGTCCATATTTTGATATGATTCTCTTGCCATCTTGTTTATGTCCTTATTTTGATTTCATATATGCAGGTCCCATGTACTTGTTTTCTTCTGGGTCTATACAGTGGCTATTGGTATCAGATATAGAGATGGTGAAGGAAGTCATCATGCACACTTCTTTGAATCTAGGGAAGCCTACTTATCTGTCCAAAGATATGAGGCCACTGTTGGGAAAAGGCATATTGACATCAAGTGGGCCAATTTGGGCTCATCAGAGGAAGATAATTTCCCCTGAGCTATACCTTGATAAGGTGAAGGTAAGCGTGTTCTAACCGACCCTACCCTGCTTAAGAAGTATTGTTGCATTGGCCACAGAGAAAGAAATAAAGGTGGAGTTAATATAAAATTTGGTCCCTGAAAGTGACAACTTTTTGTTGGTTTGGTCCTTGAAACTGCATATATATGCAAATTGGTCCTTGAAAGTGTCAACTTCCTGACAAGTTTTCCCTATTTGCGAATCAAAGCATAAAAAAATACTCATTTTGTCCTTATACCTTGACCATCTTTACGATTTAGTCCATACACTTGAAAACTACTTGTTTTAGTTCTTACACAATCACCTTTTAATATATTTTTGTTCTCTGCTGTCTAAAATTGTAGGGACTAAAATGATTAAAAAGTGATGTTCAGAGACTATAACAAGTTAAAAAGAGTATGTGTAAGAACTGAAACAAGAAGTTTCTTAGTGCAGGGAGGACTAAAACATAAAGATTGTGTAGGTAATTAAAGCTTGTTGAAGCATTTTGACTTTGAAAATTAATCTAAAACCAGTCTATAAGAGAGCTAAAAAGGTCAGCTATACTGTACTACAATACCAATCTCATGATTTGATTTTGCTGTAAATCATATTGAAGGGAATGGTTAATCTGATATTGGACTCAACGAATGAAACACTAAGGTCTTGGGAGGGTAGATTTGAGAGTGAGGGAGCAGTATCAGAGATTAAAATTGACGAAGATATGCGAAGTTTGTCAGCTGACATAATTGCCAGAGCTTGTTTTGGGAGCAATTACATTGAAGGAAAAGAAATATTCTCAAAGCTTAGAGATCTTCAAAAGCTCTTGTCCAAGATTCATGTTGGAATTCCAGGCTTTCGGTATGCATGCATGCCAACTAAAAAGACTTTTATTCTTATCAATCCATGTTTTTCTTTTGCTCGCATCTATACCAAATTTGTATGTTATATGTTCTTGTTCTTGTTAGTGATGCTACTAATGTGAAACGTGTCGCATAATCTGTTGTAGATACTTACCAAACAAAAGCAACAGAGAAATGTGGAGATTGGAGAAACAGATAGACTCAAAGATATCAATGCTCATAAAGCAACGCCAGGAGGAAACTCATGAGCAGGATCTTTTACAAATGATACTCGAGGGTGCAAAGAAATGCGAGGGTGGTGATGACTTGTTATCAGATTCCATGTCATGTGACAGGTTTATGATAGATAACTGCAAAAATATATTCTTTGCTGGACATGAGACCACTGCCACCACAGCATCATGGTGCTTAGTGCTGTTAGCTGTGCATCAAGATTGGCAAGATCGTGCCCGAGCTGAGGTGCTTGAAGTTTGTGGAAAAGGTGCTCCAGATGCCAACATGCTTAGAAGCTTGAAAACGGTATGTTACAAACAGTATGTGCTTAAGATAAATGTTTCCATGAAACACGTTAAATATACATTCATTGCCACTTAAGGCCTTCCATAATAATGTTACACTTGCAGTTAACCATGGTGATTCAAGAGACTTTGAGGTTGTATTCACCAGCAACATTTGTTATTAGAACAGCTCTCCAAGATGTGAATCTTAAAGGGGTCTTAATTCCAAAAGGAATGAACATTCAGATTCCACTCTCGGTGCTGCATCATGACCCTCAACTCTGGGGTCCTGATGCTCACAAGTTCAATCCAGAAAGATTTGCAAATGGGGTGCTTGGAGCATGCAAGGTTCCACAAGCTTATATGCCATTTGGAATAGGAGCACGTGTGTGTGTTGGACAGCACTTAGCCATGACAGAACTGAAGGTGATTTTGTCTCTCATTCTGTTGAAGTTTCACTTCTCTCTGTCACCATCTTACTGCCATTCACCTGCCTTCCGTTTGGTCATAGAACCTGGGCAGGGAGTTGTTCTTAGGATGACAAGAATTTGAGCAACAATTTAACATTTCTACCCACTTTTCTTAGCTGATGAAAGATGAAAACATGCAGCAAAAATGTTGATGTTTTCTTTTTAATCTAAACCGGAGCACAATCTTATCTAAATCCATTTTGTATGGATTTGAAAAAAATTCCATGTATGGTCAAAACTAATTGATTGGTGCAACAAAAAATAATGACTGAAAGTTATCAATGGCACTTATTTTTATGATACATGGTCCAATGAACATGTCTTTGTTTATTTAATATCTTTGACAACCTTAGTAAACACTTTGTTTTCTGATGCACATTACATTAACATATTAAAATTAATATTTGTAAGCAATATCTAACAGTTCCAAACTAAGCTCTTTTGGTTTGGAAAGCATGGCCATATGATCTGAATTCTTGATGAGTTTCACATCAGCAAATGGACCAGTGTTCTGAATTAACCACCTTTGAAAGTCCTCTGTAAACAAATTATCTTTTCCAGAAATGATGAACACTTTAGACACCCTTCCATTCCTGTTCCTGGTAACTGCAGTTTGTTTTGTGAATAATTTCAGATCACTCATAAAGGGAGGTAAAGGTCTCACCAAAGATATTGCAAGTGTTAAATCCTGCATAATATGTAATGTAAGGAGATAAAGTTTAATCAAAGTCAGGTCATGATGGATTTTTTAAATAGACTAGACTTATTTAAACAAAATCTTAACTTATTATTTTAGTTGTGTAGAAAGTGAAAAAAAAATAAAAAATCTGTGCATACGAAATTACATAAACCTTCATAGAATATAAAATAAAATATAAATAATAACATTTTAGTCAAACACACTTCTCTTCCCTTTTCTATCCAAAAATGGACATGAAAATGAGACAAGAATCATATGTAGGTGACTTTCCTTCATTTGTTTATTTTCTACTGAACCAAGGATTATTTTTTTTTTTTTTTTTGGAAAACATATGAGAAGTTATATGATAGAGTTTTTGTAAATTAGTTTTTTTTTCTCTTAAAAGTATTTATAGAAAAACTCATGAATTTTACAAATAAATAATATATATACATATATAAATTATTTAAATAGAATTTTGTCTATTAATTTATCAAACCGACTTATTATTTATATACATAATTTGACTGGGGTGGACTTATGACTTATTTACTTTCTGTGTTTAAAAACAATTTTTAGTTTTTTAGCTTTTAAAAAACTACATTATTTGTTTAATAATTCTTTCTAAAAACTTTTGTTTTTAAATTTTTAAAAATTAAAAAACAAAAATTGATAATTTTTTTAATGATATAAGTTTATATTTTATTTTTGAATATCAATATTTTATTTAATAATTACATTAAATCACGTATTTTTATTATATAAAATTATCATTTTAATCATTTTCTAACTTTCTTTACATACTAATTTATATTATGTCATAGTTTTCAAAAATAAATTTATCAAACACATTTTTTGTTTCAACTTATTTTTAAAATCAATTTTTCAAAATTAATCTCTGTAACTGTATAAAAAAAATTTAAAAATTAAATTAAATCAAACAAACCCTCTTATTATTCTTACTTTTTACTCATTTTTTATATTTCCATCACTCTGTGAAAAAAAAATTCACTTCTTATTTTTCTCTTGGTAAAAAAAAAAAAGTTGAATGAAAATGTTGACCTGAGTTGGGGAGAGTTGGTACAATCTTGATCTTAAAAATTCAACTCCAAATGGTGAGAGGATTGGAGGTTTTTTTCCATCCAATATGAAATATTCTTCCTCCAAAACGTGGCCAATTCTTCTCTGTACCTACACACATAAATTCCCCAAATTCTGTTATTTTTCTTACAAAACTAAACATTCAAGTAAATCCACTACATCATGCAAACATTTGGTGGAATGAAAAAATAAAAGTGAAATTGAAACGAGGAATACCTCTTGAAGAAAATGAAGGTAGGTGAGGTTTTGAGAGACAACAGTTGCAGTGATGAAAACTGCAACAGAGATTTTGTGAGGATACTTTTCCATGGCAATGGATACTGAGAGCCCTCCAAGACTGTGACCAACAAGAATCACCTTTTCCTGTGGAGGAAGAGAGGCCAAGAATGTGATCAAAGGCTCATGGTACTCTGAAACTGAGTCAACTTCCTCAGTCTGCTTTGGATTCACTCCACATGCAGCCATGTCTAGGGTTGTCACATTGTGACCCTCTGATTTCAGCTCATCGGCCACCTTATACCAACACCATGCACCATGGAGAGCTCCATGCACCATCACAAAGTGCTTACCATTCACACACACAAAGAAAAAGTTCAAAAATAACACAAACATCACCAAATAGTACCTCTCCTTTTTCATCATCTTCAAAAGTTTTTTGCTGTAGAAAACTTTTCATCTACTTCGACTATTCTGTTCTTATTTATCCTTGCTTTTCCTAGAATGGTTAATTTTTTAATAATATATTATTGTAAAGTCTTAAACATTCTTTTCTCACTCATTCAAATACGTTCCGTTTGATTATAAATGATTTTCTCATTGACTTGAATTTAAAAAAAAAATATTCCTAAATTTATATTTTCGTTATGTTAATTTTACTTGTACAGATTTTCTAGAAACTGAGGACATGTTTTCAAAGTTTATGTATATTTGTAATTTTATTATATATATATATATATTTATTATTTATTAATAATATATTATTTAATTCTCTAAAATTAATAGTATTTGACATGTTATTAGAGAAAAAATATATTATAAAATATCCGATTAACCAAAATATTTGAGAAAAATGAAATCTAAAAAATATATTTCAAAAGTCATTTAATAGAACCAATTTTTTTTTCACAGACGAAATATAAATTGATTGTTCTTAGAATCTAAAGGTGATTTTTTTATATATTAAAGTCTTTAAGACGTATCTTCTATATATACTACTACCTCATTATGAAAGGGAAACCTCACCAAGTTAATTAAAAAATTATACTATTGAACAATTGGTATAATATAAGATATAATGCATCTTGTCCTTTGTATGAATCAGTTCTATACTAATGATTTTTTCGTGAACAATTTAATAGATTTATTTTATATTCATATAATTAATTCTTTTATTTTCAGATAATGATGTGACATGCAAACTACCATTGCAATATACAATTTTATTCTACGGATTAATTTATTGCTAAAATGTTACATCCTTCAAGTCAACACTAATTTTTTTTTGTGTGTATTATGTCTGTTAGTTTGAATAATAATATATCTATTCTATTTCTTTATTTGTTTAATAATAATAATAATAAATATAATTTTTATTATATTATTAAAATGAGTGGTGAAATGATGTTTAATTTATCTTATAATTTTCCTTTCTATATTTGTTTATGCGAAAGTTATATTATGACTTTAATTAACATGTAATTCCTTTATACTCAAATGTTAATAATATTTATTGTGGATTTAAATGTAAAATATTTCAACTAATTCGACCATATTTAACGTTATTGTTTTAAAAATGTATTTCTTTTTCAAACTTGAACACCATCCTTAATAATAATAATATAATTAAGAATAATTTGAATTTTATTTTCCTTTTAATATAAAATAAAAAATTCAATGGAAATTAACTAGAATTTTTAATCAATATAAAAATATGAATGTTTTATATTTAAATTCACAAATAGTATGTCATTTAAGGTAACTAAGTTCATTTGAAAATTTAATGTATATAAAGAAATATCCAGTCATTAAAAAACCATAGAAAATAAATAAAATATAATAAATAGAGAAAGCATGAACATTTAGTTATTAAAAGAAAAAAAATATAATGTTATACATTTTATATTTTTCCTTTACAACAGTGGAGGATTACACCTGAAATTCTTAAATATAGTTATTTTAGGAAAATAATTATGACAATTTGTGTTGTGCATGGATATTTTATTAATGTATATATAAGTTTTATTAATGATATGCTCTATCCAATTGAAGTTGAGGCATGAAACATCTTTAAGCATTTCAAGATTATATTAAACGGCATTTCAATATCTTTAATCAATTGTTTAAATCTATACATTATTTTATCTAAATGCAAAACTTATATTTCTTCTCTCAAACTCTACGGTGAGTTTAGTTAGACAAACAAATCATATTGCTATTTATATTTTCTTCTTGCATAAAATGAAATAAGAATATCTATGTCAAAAAAGGAAAAAAAAGGGATGGAGATAAAGGTAGTAAGGATGAATTGCATGCAGTAAGAATAGGTTAAGAAACATGAAGCTTGGTTGGGTTGGCAAAGCCAAGAATGTTAGCTTGGTTCTTGCATGGGTCAAAGAAGAAAAGATCAGTCACACGTCTCTTGTTTTGTTATGCAACGAAGGGTTGAGGTAGAGGGGACAATTACTAGTCTATATGGACATACAACACTAATCTTTGTGGATAATATTATAGTGGATAATCATGAATGTTTGGTTAGCTTTGATTTAAAAGGTTCAAGAACCCTAAGTTTTGGACTCTGAGTATATGGAAAAAAACAGGGATAATCTTCAAGCTTTCAGTTGGAGCAGCAGTACACAATGAAGAAGTTAATAAAGTGGTGGAAGAGAAGAATATAGTTGCCCTTTATGTTAATTAATACACATCGTTCTCAAAATTTGTAGGATTTCATTGGCCATAATATTCAAGTGCATGTCAAGGAATTTCTAACTTTCTTATGAGAGGGTTGATACATTGTATGCTTCTAGTAGGGGCATGGATGTTGTGGGGGGAAATGCAGGACTTGTGGCATAAACAAAGAGAGAGAATTATAATATTTTCAATAATGTGTGATTGAGGAGAGTGATGAGGTTTCTGACACACCACACTCTCAAAATGTTAAGAAAGATATGAAAGTGATCTCAAAATTTTGGACGGATATGGCTAAGGAAGAAGAAGAAAATCTAGATCATAATAAAGTGTTTTTTAAAAGCCAAGTTACAGTTTCTGATCATGCGTGGATGGAAGAAAGAATTAACAAGAATAATAAAGAGTGGTTTCACCATGTTCTTTCAAAGTCACAGAAAACGAGGACAAGGAAGATAATCCTAAGATAAATATGGCATGATGAATGTGACAGCTTTTTCTGGAATGCATTTTTAAATTTTTTTTTTCTTATGGTTTGGATTAGCAAAAAAGCTGTAAGTTAAGTTTTTGTGGTGGGTATTGTGGAAAAGATTTTGGCTAAGTTTGATTGGTCAGAGGCTTTGGTAATATGTCTTTGGTCATTGAAGGATTTGAGTTCATAATAGTGATGACAAGTTGTATAAGGTTGGTTGGTTCTTGACTGTTAAACAAGATATGAGGTTGGTTTGTTGTGCCTTGTGGGTGTTGAGCTTTTGTGGCTGTTTGAATATGAAGGTTTCATTGGAAGATTTGGGCAAAAATTAAAGTTTTCGACGTTAAAAAAAATGATTTTGACATGAATTTTGGATAGAAAATAGAGAGATAGAAGATAAAAAGAAAAGGTCGATGGAGAAAATAATATAATGTCAATAGGAAAAGCTACTACCATTGCAGTGTGGTATGTTAATAACACATGACATTAATAGATATGGTTTTGAAGAGAACCTAGTGTGATAGTAAAAGTCTAGTTGAATAAGAAATTTTTAACATTAAATCTTCTAATTTGGTGAAATGTTTGATCTCTAATAATTTGTTTATAAAATAAATCCCCTTTTGTCAATCAACCGAAATGTCATACCATTGCATGCAACAATTTTTTGAACCAAAGCTTTATAGAAGCTTAGGTTCTAAACATATCTATTGCGTGAAAACTCTCATTTTATTTGAAATTTAGATTTACTTTTGTTCTATTTGCTTGCTTGGTAAGTCTTCTAAATGATGGGTTGTGTTGTGGCAATTTGTTATATTTATCCCCAACAAACTTATTACCAAAACATTAATAAAATGGAATTAATAATGAAGTGAAAATAATATTCTTGATGCTCATCGAACCTTTTATGTCTATATAGAAATATATATGCCTAGAAATTCTGATACTTAACTGAACCATTAACAATTGCACAATAAAGATGTTGCAAAAATAATATAAAGACAAAGAAAATCCCATTATATAAATCTCTACCCACCTATTTCACAAAGAAAACCATTCTTTGTAAATTGAGTACCCAAAAGCAAAAAACACTAGGCAAATAATTTGTTCCCTCTACGCAAAAAGTCATAAAATGAGCATACTACCATCTAAATAAATTTTTCCAACTTCCTTGATATTTTACCATTAGGTGGTTGGAAAGTTTTCAATTGAAAATTAGAACTTCTTGAAAGGATCTCATTTAGAACCATGTCCCCCTTTTCACTTTGAATTACCTCTAACATGCTTCCAAGAACATCAGCTGCAAGTCCAATTTCTAAGAGACTACCTGGCTCTTCTCCACCATCATGTATTAATTGTGCAATCTCATTAAAAGAAGCTATATTCTCTGTTATGACTTTAGCAAAAATTCGACCAAGAAACTCTGCTGCTCTAGGGGCATCATTAACGACATCCTCCAATGTACAGAGAACATATTCAAACCTAACCAATATACAAAGGAATCATTTTATAGTTTGTCTTCATTATAATGAATTTTCCCTAATATGGTTAAATCAATCTTACCCTTTGATGAGCTGGACTTGACTCAAGGTGCCTTGCTTAGATTTCACAAAGTTGACAAGTAGTTTGGCCAAAAGATCTCTTTCTGTGTCCTTCCTCTCAAATGAATCTGTGACCCAGAGAGAAACCATAGAAGGATGGAAGCTTGGAGAGTTCAAATCTTTGACACATAATGCAAGTTCATTCTCGTCTCTAGCACTGAACATTGCATAAAATTTAGTAAAACGATTAAATGACAAGAACAATCAGATAATTCATCAATATAAATTAAAAGAAAAAGATAAAACATATTAGCCTACATTAATAGACATGTAATTTTAATTTGGCTAATGAAATACTATACACATGACATAAAAATTGATCTTGAAAATTTGAAAAAAAAAAAAACCAAAAAAAAAAAAACAAAGATTCCTAAATTTGATGGAACCAAAAAACCAAAAAATCTTCATGAAATCTCCTCTCTAAATCCAACAAAGAAATAGGAAAATATTTTAATTCCACTCTAATTTCTACTATGATATTCACCATAAGCCATTTAATTTAAGACTTGAGTTTTTAATCCTCCAATGAATAGAGAAAGAGAAAAAATTGGCAAGTTCAGGTTGAGGACGAGTTAGTTGATAGGGTTTACCCACCTATGAGACCAATACTTAAGGCATCCAAAAACATTCATGCGATTAACAGATCATGTGTTTGTAGTAAGTGGTTTGTTCAAACTTCCCAACAAGAGTATAACTTATCAAAAAGTTTTAACTACGAGAAAACTAATATCTTAGAGAAATAGTGAAAAAAAAAAAATACCTGTAGTATTCTTTTATGGCTGACAAGGACATGTCCCTCAGTTGTTCTTCTGACCAAATGTTCTTTGAAAATTCATTTTGAGAGACTATTGACCTTTGCAACTGAGTAGGAGGTGAAACACTCCTGAAGTCTTTGTTACCATGATTTATATTATGTTCTGGAGAAGTTGATTGATCATAGGTAGATGGATCTAAAGACTTGCTATATGGTGTGCGCTCTGATAAATTATTATGACCATTGAGACTTGTAGTCATTTTATTAGAGTCTTTAGGTAAAGGAATAACATCAGATATTGACAAATTAGAAATTGTGGTTGATCCTCTCGTAGACATTCCCTTAGCAAGACCACCTTGGGGTACCAAGACTATAGAATCATCTCCTAGAGGTTTTTGAGGCAATGGAACTGACAAGGTCTTATTAGCCTCATAAGATTGTTGTTCCTCAAATCGAGAATCCTGATAGCCACCATGCCCAGAAACTTGAGTTGAAAGACCACGTAATCCACCCATTTGAGAATTCGAGGGTGACAACGTGGATGATCCCCTTGGACCAAAATCCATGGGATTTCTTCTAGTTGATTGATTATTGCCAAGACCACGACCAGACCTACCAGCTTGGGCATGCCTTTCTTGCGCAGCATCCCTATGTACCTCGTCAATCTTTTTCGGACCTTCTACTTTCCTCCTTTGTTTCCATTTATTCTTTCTCAAATCAATGGCATCCTTCAACATGAACCTCACCCTAGAAGATAAAGCCATGTTGATTGATAATAATTTCATCCTTTCAAAATATGCATCCATATGTTCCTTGGCTTTTGGATGGTCAATCATCTCCCCAATAGTACTCATTAGCTTGCACAAAGCTTCAATATTCTCTTCATCTGGATCTTGATATTGACCTAATAACTTCTTGATACACTCATGCATTATCCTTTCCGTCAACATTTTCTTCTTATATAGTTCTCCAATCAATCTAATGTTTCCCAACATGCGTCTTCGTGCCTTAACTCTTCTTTCTTCTCTTTCCTCAGTAGATTGCTTAACCTCACCCTCATCAACCTTATTTGCTTCTTCTTCTTCTCTTTCACCCCTCTCAAATTCCTCCTGGCACTTGTTTAATAATAACCTTTTGAAAGTTATTTTTTCATTGTCCTCACTAAAATCAGGCAACTCAGAAGCCAAATGTAAACAAAAGTTGGCATACATTTCACAAAAGGTAGGTTCTGTAAGAGCTTTCTCAAAGATTTGTGAGATAACACCAATGAGGGTGATTGCATTGTCAATATTAACTTCTTTCACCTTTTCAAAGAGTTTATCAAAATTTTGCGGTGTTAGTTTGTTCAAGATAGCTTTTAATTGCCTCTGTTTGACTTCTTCCACATCTGTCACTTTACCCACTTCGTACTTATTCTCAGCTTTATGCATTAATTGTAAAGGAGCTTGAGTAGGAGAAGGAATTAAACCCCTCTGTTGGAAGGATCGTTGCCACCTCTCTTTATCAAGGCTATTTCCTCCACCTTGATTTCCCCCAGATTGCATTGGGCCAGAAAGGATCCCTCCACTATATTGTGGTGGTGCTTGTGCACGAGGGTTTCTTAAAACACCGAAATTGCCTCCTTGACCAAATCGAAATCCTGAATTACCTCCCATGCTTTCCGGACCACGGCCAGAACGATAAGTACCATAAACTTTGTTCCATCTATTATCCTCCATAATCATATCCCCACGAAGATCCATCCGAGACATCCCACCTTGTCTATCTACATTTCTTCCTCGACTAAGATGTGAATCACGCTCAAAAATATGAGAACCACCAACATTGGTATTCATCAAAGCTCCAATGTCTGTGGTGATTTCAAAACCTTCAGGAAGATCAATGCACTGCTCTACAAATTTTAGAAGAAAATCACGTGAATATTTTTTTGTTGTACTTCCATGTCCATCACCAACATTTTGAGATTTATCAGGAATCTCCAATTTAGGCGTAGACATGTTCGCAACATCCTCCCAATCATCAAGTTCAGCTTTATTGTGACCACATTTTCCACTTTCTATAGCATCTAACTGACCAACATTAAATTGCTTCAAACTTCGAGAAGTAGTAAGACTTTCCTTGATCTCGGAGCTTAAGACATCCTCTTTCATTTCCTCAGCTCCCTTGTATGCATTATATAGATCAGAAGTTGACCCAGCAGCATCTGCTTTCTGAAGTATCTCTCTTCTTTTCTTCTTCCCTTTAGATGAACTTTTCAACTTATTTGGTTCTATAATTGGTTTATCCTTGGTACCTAACTCACCATCAACATTCTTTGAACCATTCTTAACATGCTTCAGTGTTGTATTTGGAAGATCAATAACTTGCACATCTGATGGGGCAGAATTTCCTAAATCAAATCGATTAGTAACTACACTACCATTCTAATAAAAAGACATCTATAAAATAACACAATATAGTGACGACAGATATGCCTAAATTATCATTGATTTTGTCATATTTTCTATTACAATTTGCAAATTCATATTATTATGATATAATTCGTAAGGTCCAAACCCGAATGCTTACATTTGATGTGTCTATTTTAGTTAATTTAATTTTATTCCATTAAAGCTAGTATTTTATTTATACTCTTCAGGAGATCACACATAACTTTTATAATAATGACTTATGTTTTTTACCTTCAACTACTTCATATGTCTTATTAGGCATATGATTGTGAACTTTGTATACAGTTTGTGCACCATATCCTTCTATTGAAACATTAGAAGAGGGTTTTATAGGCCCATTGGTTTTCACTTCAATATTAGATATACCACGATCAACAACTTGAGAAAGCTCTGATGTGGGAGACTGTATGGAAACCTGTGAAAAAAGACATAATGTATACAATATATATTAAGTATACCATGATCACATAATACTAAAAAGTATATCCCCTACATTCAAGAGTGTGTGTGTGTTTGAATAATAATTCATTCATATACCTGATGTTGTGATAATTGACCTTTCTTCTCTAATTTCTTATCTTCCAAAGAGTTATAACTACTAAGAGATTCCCTTTCACCTTCATTATTAGACATAGTTGCGACAAAACCACTAGAAACCTTAGACTCTTGTGAGGAATCTTTTGAACAAGTTTTTAACCCTTCTTGTAGTACAGAGGAGCTAGCATCACAAGATGTTATTGAACTTGGGGATTCTCCATTTTGAAAATCAGAAGTACTAGAATTGGACGACGATGAGTCCATTATAGTAGTTGTACCACTGGGCTTATTATTAGTCGAGGAACCTTGTGATGATGGATTCATAAACCTCACACCTTGTGGATCATGGTTCACAGGATAATTAAATGTTGGTGGTTGAGGATTTGGAGTTATCGGTCTACTTATTATAGGTGGATAATAAAGAGAGTTGGTATTGTACGAGCTGGATGAAAAATAGTTCATTGGTTGAGCTGGAAAAGATTTAACAGGTTGGGATTGAGAAGGTATGTTAGGGTGTGACCTAACACCAGATGAACTACCATTTGAATATGCATCTATTCTTTTATCAAGTCTTAATTCTTCATGTGTCTCAGGATGAGTTATCTTCACATGGGTTGTTTTTCGAGGACCAGTAAACTTTCCTCCTTGCTGTAGAGGATATTGACGGCCTATGCCAGTGCCTATGTTGCCTAATTGATGGGGCAAATGATTACCCATTTGAGGAGAAAAGTTAATGTTTTGACCTTGATGCATGACCCTTTGAGGGTGCATAGGATGTGGTTGAAGACTTGGAACAAAAACCGGATGTTGCACTTGTGTAGCATTACCAATTGGTAAAGGCATCGGTATAGGAATTTGGAGGGAAGCTGTTGAAATGGCTTGAGATTGAATATGTGTATTAGCACCGCCAAACTGTAAAGGAGCCTGTGGTTGATGATATGAAGTTAATATTGAAATCCCAGTTACAAGAGTATCAAAAGGCTTTGACATCTGACTTACTGAGGTTAAAGCTGACATCTGAGAATCCTTGTTTGCTTTAATCTCCTTAACATTAGATTGCTCATTAACAACATCTTTCTTAGGTCGTTGTTGGTGCTTTGGAACAGAAGAAACTGACGCCGGAGCCACAGATTTGTAATAGTCATCAAGAACCTGGAAGTTATGGAATTATACATCGAACATAAACTTTCATTAGTATGGAAAGACATAAAACAAGTTAAACACTTCAATCGATGAATACTACTATCTCTAATAATGTCAACTTCAATTAAACATACGAAAAACATAAGAACTTTATTTACTCATGTTATGCTTAAAATTTGAACCATATCATCTTTGTAAGAATCTAGAAGAAATGCTTTTTACTTTTGAAAGAGATGGATAGTACCTGATCATGCTTATGCTCATCCAAATTAGGAGGAATGGAATTCGTATGTGAAGGAATCTGTATACAAGAACAATACCATTATCAATTACTCTACTCACCCAAAAAATTCCACAAAATATGTAATATGTACCATAAATTAATCAATTAATATATAAAAAACTTACTGTCATCCCATTAATAAATTCAGGAATGATGGATCCAAATTGAAAAGGGATTGCCTTAGACTCATCTCCTGCTACATAAAAAAATATTGCATCACACAAGTCTACAACATAACTAATCACTAATAGGGAAAACTATTTCCAAAACAAGAATTGTTAATGGCCATTCTAATTTACACAATAAAATCATACAAGACTAACATACCCTTAGCAAGGCTTGTGGGAATGGCTAGATGAGAAATCAAGGGGGGTAAAACAATAGTTATATCTTTTGGAACAATTCTAGTACACGTATATGATTTAAATGACTTTGTAATTGGCCCATTTGATACTCCTATCATGCCACATAAATGAATGAATAACATAAAAATGAAATCAACGAAGCACTTGATCACCTCGAAAACATCAGAAGATTCTTTTGTAAAAAAACAAAAGAGGGAAGGATATCTCATAAATCCTTCTCTACTAAAATTCTATCGAACAACATAATCAGACACTAAAAACTATTGAAGATAAGAACTACATTTTTTAAATAAATAAATATTGCTCCTAAAGCTTACCATGTAATTGTGATTGAACATGGGTACCATTATTAATTATTCGGGCATCAGATGCATTATTCGACTCTATCGATCCTTCATGGGAAGGATTTAACCTAGACTGTCCACCTTGTGCACTATCCGACTTCTTGTTAAAACTACAACAAACAACATGCATAATCAATAAAACAACAATAAAAAAAAAATACATTACTCATAATATTGTACAAACAATAATTTAACAAGTAACAAATTATCAAACCACATGTCACGGAAAGGAGAAAACAACTAGTTTCACAATTTTATAATTGATCACATACAGTATACATTTAACTTTTTCATTCATTTGCTACACATCTAAATTTCACAAAAGAATCTTAATCTACGCTCTTCAATACTATTGTATAAATTTTATACATACTCACATTTTATCACAACGTCAAAGTGTAATTTCTTTCGTCCAAATAACATTACACACTAACAGATCTAAATGTATACACCTTAAAAGAGTGCTCCACGGATAACAATTTGTCATGATTATACTATATATATATATATATATATATATATCAATTACCAAACATTAAAATGCAAACAAATTCTACCAAGTCAAAAAATAAAGTTGTAATCTACATCTTTCAACACATTTTTATAAAAATATAATTAATGATATTTTTAAATTTAAATCAAAATCATAATACCAACAATTTATTCTTTTAGTTTGTCGGGCCCTGCAATTTATATTTTTAATCACATCTAAATTTTCGAAAAAAAAAACAAAAAAAAATCTCAATCATAACCATCATACGATTAGTTATATTTTTTATCATCACCATAGTATCAATATTTTACTTTCATCCATCATGATACTCTGCAAATTTTTTTAATTATTTTGTTTAATTATTACTTTATATACTTTATATAAATTGGTCTTGATTTTACAGATCAAATAAAAAACAAATAAAACAATTTAACTGGATTATATTTTAAAATAAATTATAATTTTTTAATAATCTTTTATTAGGCCTACTAGACAACGAGTCATTTTTATCCTCGTTAATTTTTTTTAATCACAATTTTTTCATATACAAATAATTTATTAAAAAAAAACTAATCAAAATATTTTTAATATAAAATAAAAATATATATTTTAAAAAATTAAATTATATTAATAAAATTGATTTTAGTTTTAAATATAATGATATGATATATATATATATATATATATATATATATTAATAAAAAAATATTCTTTTTTATTTATCCATTATAAAACTATATTTCAAACACCAAAAATAACCAAATTTCACAAAATCAACAAGTTAAATCTCAAACTATACTTTGAACACTATTCTGCAAATAATAATAATAATAATAATAATAATAATAATAATAACATATTATTATTATTATTATTATTTGGGAAGGGAACTGGTGGACCATAATTCTAAAAAAATCTTCTAAATTTTATTTAAAAAAATATTATAAAATTTTTTAAAAATAAAAAATTATTTTTTTAAACTGATTTTCCTAAAAATAATCACAATCACAATTATTATTTCATAATCACAATCTCAACTCATCATTTTTTTTCATCCATTATAACACTATTCTTCAATTTCTAAAACACATCCAAATTAAAAAAAATTATCAATCTTCATCATTCAAAACTAATCTACAAACAATAAATAATTATAATTATAATTTATTACTAATTTAATCAAAATCACAATTTCAACGCGTAATTATATTATTCAGCTTCACACGCTAAATTTGAAAACTAAAATCTCAAACTACATCATTCATTCAAAAGTAATATAATGTGTCACGTTTTATATTATATTATATCACAATATCAACACTTCAATTCTTTTTACCCGTTCTAGAAGTACACTTTGCACTCTAAAAGTTATCCAAATTTAACAAGGAAAAAAAAAAAACAATCAACACTAGAAACATTATTCGAACAACATGAATAAAAATTTAATCACAAAATGAAGAAAACAAACATGCAGCGTGCTAATTTGCAAGCCATAACTCACCTTCGGTTAGAAGATAATGATTTGTTTGACGGTACGGTTCCACCGCCATCGCCACCAGCCTTGCCGTATGAACCTCTTTGCTGGTTAAAGCTTGAGGATCGTCCGGTTCTTCGGTAAACGACGTCGTTCTTGTCCACCTTGGATTGATTGAAGGACATATATCCCAATCCCTTGGAATACCTCAAAACAATACAATTTCCTTCACAATGAGAGTAAGAACAAAGAGAAAATTGAATTTCTCCTTTTCACAATCATAACTAACCGAGGAAAGAAATGGAGTGAGAAAGAGTGGAGTGTGGGAAGGGTTTTGTGTTGTGAGAACGAAGAGAAAAAAGCGAGAGAAAATACCAGAATGGATGAATTTTGGAAAGAAATTGGTAACAGATTGAGTAGTGAGGGAAGGGTCAAAAGAAGAAATAGCTTTTTTAGGAACCATCACACACATACATACACACACTGTTTGAATGAGTTGCGGATTTTGTGACACCTATTATTCACCTTCCCTTATTTTTCTCTGCTTTTTTTTTATTAATTTTGTTTAAATTACATTAAATAGTATTTTTTTCTTTTATTTTAAATAGTATTTATTGTGTAACGCGTAAAGATCATAAGACGAAGTGTCATCAATCTAGAGAACTTTGACTATGTCAATTGAAAAAAAAAAAAAAGATTTCAAAATAAATTTATATTTAGTGCTATTTTGATCACACATTTTTTAATATTTGAAATTTCTTAGTGCATATATAATTAATATATGTATTAATTAGGTAGGAGATTTCTTTAACTTAAATTAATAAGTAGAAATTGGTTTGGAAATTTGTTTTAAACTGGATAATAATAATAATAATATGATTGAGAAGATGAGTATTGTATTGATTTGATATTTCATTTTGGAAAATGATAATGTTGATAAATTTGATTAAATAATGAAATTTGATTAAATAATAATAAATTTTAGAATGTATTATTCACCAAATTATTTCTTTGAGGTTGGAAGATAAATTTTACAGTTGAAATTACCATTTTGCATATTTTTTAATGAAATTGTGTACATATTTTAACACAACAGGATCAATTCCATCATGGTTTTCTGATAAGTATTCCATGGTTTTTTCAATTTCTGTGATGTTGATGGAGACAAATTCATAAAATTTAATTACAGATGGAATGGTTCAAGAATAGGAAGGTTAGGTTCATCAAATTTCAGTATCATCAAAAGAATTGGGATGATTTGGATGAAGAGATGTACTTCACACAGGAAGAGTTGCACACTGCATAGAAAAGTGTTTGATGTTATGTGTTGAATTTGTATAGCCTTGAATTTGCTAAAAGTCAGAATCTTTTCATTCATTCTGGTGAAATTTTTATTATGGCAAAAATTGTAAACAATATGTTCTGGAAATAGAATAAGTTCTGCTTTAGCAGAAATATTTGCTAATGCATTAACATTCTGTGTTATACACAATCAAGAATAATACAAATCATCATTGTCCAATTGAGGGAATCGACCACCCCCATGAAAAATAGCCAAAACAGAGAAAGTAGAAATGTTGTTCTCTATACAACAAACTAACTTTTTCCATGTTACAAATCATCATTGTATATTATATTACAAACCAAATCGATCTAGAACCAGGACCACCCCTGTGAAAAATAGGCAAAAGCATAAAGATACAATGTTTAAAAAAGAAGAGATTAAGTTACAAACAAGCTTTATATGTTACAACCCATCATTGTCTATGTTGTTCCTTCATTTTCTTCTGCAACTTTTCATTGTATTCCTAGAGCTTGGATCCTCTTAACCAGTGACAAGGAGCAAGCATTTGTTTCTCTCCAATCTTCTCTGCTTTCCATGTTCTCCCCCATGATTAATTTCTCGTTGCCATCAAGGATGCTCACTATCTGTCTTGTGCTTGGTCTTAATTTTGGATCAGAACGGGTGCATGCAACTCCTAACCTTATCAATCTCATTAACTCCTTGTAATTGTACTCTCCATTTAGTCTTATGTCTGCCAGTGCCTCAAGTGATCGTTTTCTCATCTCAAATTCATGAACTTTCTTTACCAAAAGCACCTCAGGTTGCCTAAAATCCACAGCCTTAAGTCCACTCACAATCTCAAGAACCACCACACCAAAACTATAAACATCAGCAGCCACGGTTGCCTCGCCAGATTCCACATATTCCGGTGACATGTAGCCGTAAATCCCACAAACAGACTTGTTCCTGGTGGTGATTACATGATGGCCATGCTCATTCCTTGACAGAAACTCGGCCAGAGCAAAACTACCTAGCCTTGGGGTCATGTCAGGTTCAAGAGTCACTGCTGAAGAGGTTATGTTCCTATGAATGACTTGTTCATCCCATTCCTCGTGCAGATAGAGAAGTGCAGACGCAAGTGATTTCGCTATGTTATACCTATGATGCCATTTGAGGACAGAATGAACATTTTTAGTACTATTGTTATGATGGTGAAGTTGGTGACTGAGAAATCTTTTAGCTGAGTAATCATACACCACAAGCATCTCTCCTTGCTCAGTGCACCACCCTCTGAGCTGCACCAAATTCCTGTGCCGCAGTTTTGCCAGGTTTCTTAGCTCATTGGAAAATCTTTGCCGCAATGCTGGGCATGTCTTCAAGCCAAGGCGTTTCACCATGACATGGTAGTGGCCATCTAGGATGCCATGGTAAGCAGTTCCAAAGTCTAACTCAGCCACCCTTTTGGACTCTGAGAAGTTATCTGTGGCCAAAACTATCTCCTTGAATGGTATCTCCCTAGGTGTTTCAACCAATGAAAATGATGGCTGCTGATGCATCCTTTTTTTCCTACTCTTTGAAGAGTTAGTTCCACTGTCTCTGTGTTCCGCTTCAGCAGTTACATATATAGTATCTCCTGCAGCTGTGACATATTTGGAATTGAAACTAGTAAGATTGGTAGAACTTTCTGTTCCTGTGCCTGAGCCAGTGCCTTTTGAGCTGCTTGGACTAGTCTCAGATGAGGAGGACAGAGATATGTACATAGGATGCGAGTGAAATGAAGGGAGCGTTGGCAAGTTGTTTGATATGTCAGAAAGTGCTTCAACAATCCATTTCATGCTTGGCCTCAATTGAGGGTCATGGAGTGTGCACAAGAGGCTTATGTGAATCAATTGCTCCATGTCAAAAACCTTATAGGAACCGTCTATCAGCCTTGTGTCCCTAGCATCAACAAGCCTACCTTCATCACTAAGCCTTCTGACCCAATCAAGCAAGATGATTTTCTCATCAGGGTATGTGAGATCAATGGCCCTCCTGCCAGCCACCACCTCCAACACAACTATTCCAAAGCTGAAAACATCAGATTTTGAGGTAGCAATGCTCCTTCTCTGGAAGCTCTCAGGGGGCAAGTACCCAATTGTGCCACCTATCCTTGTAGTCTCACTCAACCTGAAATGCTCAAACTTGCTTGATGTTGATGTTTTCCTTGTCTCATACTCATACTCAAGCTCATGCTCAAGCCACCTTGCCAAGCCAAAGTCCCCCAACCTAGCATTGTAGTGGGAATCAAGCATCACATTGCTGGTCTTCACATCCCTATGAATGATTTGAGTCTCCAACTGCTCATGTAAATAATGCAATGCACATGCCAAACCCTTCACAATTTTCCCACGCCTCAACCATCCAAGTGGCTCTTCCTTCATGTTCTTGCGAAACAGCACCCGGTCAAGGCTGAGATTAGGCATGTAGTCATACACAAGGAAAAGTTGATCCTCGAAAAAACACCAACCCCTCAAGGGAACAAGGTTCTTGTGGCGAAGGTGTGCCACGGCCGCTAGTTCTGCTGCAAAAGTCTTCTCAAACTGGCCACCTTTCCCTGCCAAGCAACACTTCACAGCCACCACTGTTCCATCACTAGGCATAACAGCTTTGTACACTTTGCCAAACCCTCCACTGCCTAGAACCTCCTCCTCAGAGAAACCCCTTGACCCTATGTACAGTTCAGCATAGCTGAAAATCCTTGGATTGTTGCTATTTTCAATCTTGGAAGAGAGTTGCACGCCCTCCATGTCATGAAACGAACATGATGAGGCCTTGATCGGCTTGGTTTCTCTTGCACCATGTTGGCATAGATTCCAGTGACAGTTCCACCACTTTGTGTCACACAACCTTATCAAGGAGCCATGAAGGGTAGCAACAACATGGCCTCCACATGCCTCTTGAGGATCTTTTTTGGCCTTAACTTTTTTTTGTGTCTCTTTATGTTTTTGTGGGGTTGCGTGAAGTGGCTCTAGTTTATCATAATCTGAGGGCATGATGAAGCACAGGTGAGTGAGCTGCATAGTTTCTGTTGTGTTGAGTTGTGTTGTGTGTTTGAGAATGGATATTGAAAGCATAAGCAATTAGCTAGGACATGGAGATGGCAATGAATGGCATTAGTGCTAATGGTGTGTGCAAAAAGATATTGAAGTTTGGGTATTTGATGATGATGGCAATGCCATTGTTAATGCCATTATTCAACGCGTTAAGTTTGCACGGTTGAATTGAGTGCAACCATTTGCCAAATTGGAACCTACCACCACCTCTGATATGACGTTTCCAAAATCATTATTTTTTTTTTAATTCTTTTGATTTATGTTTATAAAAAATATTTCCACATCTCGATGAGAAAAGTAGAAGATTTTTTACATGCAAAAGATATTCATGTCAAAAAGTAAAAAGATGATAAAGAAGGAGAGAGAAAATTATCAATCAGAATGATGAATCAACAGAAAAAACTAACAAAGTTTTGGCTGTATGTCAACGGAAGTCATTATCAGTTCCTCACAAAAACTATATATATAACAACTTAAAAAAACACTAATAAATTAATAAATAAAAAATTATCGTACTGATTTATTATTATTATTAATTATTTTAGATAAAAACACGATGTTGTTGACACATCTTTTTCACGATTTAGTTTTTCATCCAAACTCTTAATTTTTGAAAAAAAAAAGGACGAATTACGGAAAATAATTATTGTTTTAAGTGTTTTGAAATAATAATAATAATAAATTAATTTAAATACCGTTTTGTTAATGTTATTTTGGTTTACTAACAAAAAGAAAAACAAAACAGAAATTTAATATGGTGACAAATATGTACATATATAACTTAATGGTTAGTATGCAAAAGATAACTTAATACCTTAATTGTTAATCATCTTTCTTAGATTTAATCTTGGGGATTAAAGGACATTGTGCTACTCTTAACAAAGAAGAAATAAATTTCGTGGTAAAAGTAAAACTTACTAAAAACTTAGAAATGGAAAAATATGAACGAAAAACATGAAAAAAAAAACGTTAATGTTGGGTATGCTCCAAAGAATGTCTCAACCAACTATGGTTTTATCCAATGAAAAAAAAATGCAAAATAAAATAAAATAAACAAGGTTCATTGTTTTTATATTAAATAAAAACCCTAATATATCAATGTAGTTGGTGCATAACTATTTCTTATATATGAGACTGTTGACAAAAGTCCAATTCTTAATTGTACATATGAAAGGAAATTTATTGAATGAGGTCAGTTTCATTTTGACTTTTTTGGTATAATAATAATAATATAAAAAAAAAGATAAAAAAGAAAATATATATGTTGCACACAGTGTAGGTTTTACCATTATTTTTATTTTTATTTTTTTAAGTTTAATTTTTTTTTCTGTGGTAATAACAAGAAACTCTATGTTAAATTATTTATATGTAAAACAAAAACATTATACATCTTTGTGTATGTATACATATGCATGTGAAGTCCATTATCATTTTATAAATAGTAATGGTTTTTTTATATTTGAATTTTCTACAGTATTTTTATAACTCTTTTTTAATGTTTTTCATAATGTCATCTATTTTATCGTACATTTTTTTTTTAATTCTTTTTATCATGTCACAATCATTTTGACATAGGCATGGATGACAATTCTCTTTTATAATTAGCAATAAAAAAATAAGTACCTCATTTTCATATTTTTAGATATTTTATCAATATATATATATATATATATATATATATATATATATATATATATATATATATATTTCTTAATTAAAATAGAATTTTTGTGAACTCCACAAAGGAGAAAAAGAAGGTAAAAAGTAAAGAACTGTTTGGTTGAATTTAGGCCAACCCCAGTACACATATACCTAATATCAGCATACAATCATACCAACCAACCATTGAAAATCTTCAACTAAACCATCCAAAACTAGCAGTTTAGTTTACTTAACCTGCTTCCTTCCACCAACTGTAATTTCAACTACACAATACAATCATGCATTAAGAAAATGAGAGGTGAATTACAATATACAAAGAGTTCATTACATTGTGAATCACTTAGAAATCATCATTGTTGAGACTTTTAAGTATTCATAACAGAAATTAACAAACTTATCATGTATGATAGTTTATAATTAGATGAAATATCACTGCATAACTTCATTTTTCATATATGTAAGAGGGGGACATCGTTTAAAAATATATAGTAATATTATTTAATTCCTTTAACTTTCTGAGTTTTAATTTAATCTCCAATTTTTTGTTAAGAAAATACAATTTATGGCAAAGGTATGTTCAAATTGAATACAGAAAATTACTTTTATGGCAGGTCAACGATAGAGAACTATATTTCCTGCAAAGTTTTGCAGAAACAAGAATATGCTGTAAAAGAAAAGATTGACAAAAAATTAGAAACTCCTGAAGCGTAATAACTATAAAAAATCTAACCAAAAAGTTTGACACAAATGGTTAACGAATTAAATCGTCAGAACACCACCCAAACTCAAAAAAACCAAAGGTCTAACTTTAATCATTTCTTCCAAATGTGCGAGAAAATATCTTAGAAGCTGATTACTTATCATCCAACTGAACCAAATTAGACTCAGACGAAACATTAAAGCATTAATAGAGTATTATCCGTAGATAAAAATAGAAAACAACTTATAAACAAACTAATTTGTACTTAACTTTTTTATTTACTTTCTATTTTCTCTTTCCTTTTAAGGTTACCCATGTATGATTTTGAACTTCATTTAAGGATGGTTGGTTGTTTGAACACATTTATCCATTACCTGTTGTCGCCGTCTTCAAAACGAGGCGGTTGGAATGACGCGATGGTTTCGACTTTCCAATTTTCGGATTTTCATTGGTGTGGTTACAACGCCTTTAGGTTGTTCGAAAACCGGGCTGAACCTAGAGGCGAGGTTTTCGAAATGGCGCTCTCACTATAACAAAAACATCAAATAGTGACCGAAATAGTAACAAACTCAAATCGGTCACTATATCGGTCACTAACAAAAACATTAAAAAATTAAAAATATTTTTTTATAACTCTCTAATCTCCCTTTTATAATATATTTTTATTACTTATTATATTTTTTAGAAATTTGAATTATTATTAGATTGAAAGAATTGTTACTTGGTAGGATTCAAACCCAATACCTTAAAGTTAGAGACTCGATACTCCAACCACTTAGCTACTAAGAATTTTTTATAATAGTTTATAAATAAATTATATTTATATACAAATAAAAATATCCGTGTAAATATATAAATATAAAATATATAAATACAAATATATATATATATATATATATATATATATATGTTGGATGTGAGGGCGCTCGAGGGTGAAAGTGTGTCGAGATTTTTAAAATTTGATGTCAAATTTGTGAGCGGGTCTCTTTATATGAGTTTATAATTTAATGACACAACATAATCTTTATAATTTATTTATATAATGATATAAAATAATTTTTTCTTTATTTATTTTTATTTTATTTTAATTTATTCTTCTTATATTTTTTTCTTCTATTATTTAATTAAAATTCTTATATTAAAATATTTTTTTCAATATTAAAATAATTAAATATTTATTTTTAAAATTATTTAATTTAACAAATTATTATAAATTAATCTAATTATGATTATTAATAGAACAATTTTTTCCTAACATATATTATTATAAATTAATCAAAATCATCTTTTAATAATTATTTTTTCCCGACATAGATTAATTCATAATAATTTGTTAAATTAAATAATTTTAAAAAATAATTTTAAAAATAAATATTTAATTATTTTTAATAATGAAAAATTATTTTAATATAAGAATTTTAATTAAATAATAGAAGAAAAAAAGATAAAAAGAATAAATTAAAATAAAATAAAAATAAATAAAGAAAACAATTATTTTATATCATTATATAAATAAATTATAAAGATTATATTCTATCATTAAATTACAAATCCATATAAAGAGACTCGCTCACAAATTTGACATCAAATTTTGAAAACTCACTCGACACACACTTTCACCCTCTAACGTGATCCTCACATCGAACATATAAATATATAAATATATCAAAATATATAAATATATTTGTATTTATATATTTTATATTTATATATTTACACGGATATATATTTATTTGTATATAAATATAATTTATTTGTAAATTTTTATTAAAAAATTCTAACGAGTTTAGTAGTTGGAGTATTAATATCTAACTCTAAGGTACTAGTTTTGAATCTTATTAGTAATAATTTTCTTAATCTGATTAAAAAAATTATTAATAAGAAAAAATTATATATTTTTGTGGAAATTAGAGCAATTAAATTGTTGTTATGGACTAAAACCCAAAAAGTAAAAAATAAAAAATATAATTAAATAAAAGAAAAATTATATACTTTTACATTTTTATTTTCAAATATTAGTTATTTTATGAAATTATTTTTAATTAAAATAATTAAAGTGATATATATATATATATATATAATTTTTTTATTTTTTTATTTTAATTTATTAATATTATCAAATTTTAGCTTCATGATTAAAAAATACCAATAATTTAAATTTTATTAATTCTGTAATTTTATATAATTATTATTATAAATTTAATTCTCCAATAACTAATAATATTAACACATTTATTAAATTAAAATTCTTTATTTTAATTAATTATTTTGATTTTTTTAACAATTTTTTTAAATAAAAACGATAAAACTTAAAATTGATTTCTAACTAAATCTTCACATATTTATGGTTAATAGTATATTATATTATTATGTTTAATTAAATTTTAAAATAAGTTCACTTAATCTTTACACTTTTATAAAAATACTAATATAAACTTAAAATATTTATCCTATTACTAAATTATTTAAAATATTAATATAAATTTGAAATATCAATTCAATAATTAAAATAATTTTAATTTTTTATAAATACATTGAAATACATTTTTATTAACATAAAAGTAATATATATATATATATATATATATATATATATATATATATA